GAAAGAATGGAGAGGATGGAGTTGCAAGTGAATTCCCGACTCCACACGCTATTTTTTATTGGTTCTATGGTGATTGGTTATGGTGAAAAAGTTTTTTAGTTGGAGTAGTTCAAGTCCGTCTATGTTTGGTATACAACCATAGGTTTCGTCCTTTGGTTTTGGTTTCGGAGGTGTTGTTCGGAACACCTTAGTTTGAGATATTGTTTGAAATATCTCAACTTGATAAATGCTGTTCGGAGCATTTTTTGTTTCGTTTATGTTTCGATGATGCTATTCAGAGCATCTTGATAGCCATGTTGTTGTTCGGAGCACGTGGTTCTGTTTCTGTTTCGACGATGCTATTCGGAGCATCCCGATCGCCATGATGCTGTTCGGAGCACGTGGTTCTGTTAGTTCGACGGACTAGACGACTTTGGCAAGACCTTTTGTCATCTCCAACTTATCACCATCGACGTTTCACGAGGCATTGGACATGATCTTCATCGACATATTTGGCAGAGCAGTTATGTTTTTCATTGTTTTTTTTGTCACATTGTTCGTAGTAATTTGTGTCATTTTTGTTTCGGTTTTCAAATTGTTGGTAAGTAATTACCATCAATTTGAGGGAGGGTATTAGAGTATGTGTAGTACGAGTAGTATTGTGTTATACTACGAGTACTAGTATGTAATTGGGTAGAGTTATATTCCTTATTAGAGTCATAGAAGTTAGGTTATTTCCCTATTAGTGTTAGGGTTATTATAGAAGTCAGTCTTTGTACTCTATATAAACCCTATATGGTTTCAGTAATAATACACAACAGTTTCCACCGTATTCTGATTTACCAATGTGGTATCAGAGTCTTCTGTGACCGTGAGGTCTTCTGTTCGATTCCCGGTAGCCCCCATCTGTTTCTGTTAAGCACACGGTGTCCGGACCTGTGCCTGTCCAAACTCCAAGCCTATCTTAATGGCTTGAGTTTGAAGGGGGGGGGGGGGTGTTAGTAAACAGTATATGATCCACGATTGAACCTCTCCCAACAACTCGAGTTGTTGGGATCAACTGGTTCTTGACATCATCTCCACCTCCATCACACACTGGCGAATCATGCCATCAACACTAATAGGGAACACCTATGGGTCATTCCAAAAGTAGTGTCGCAGATTAGAGAAGAACTTCCTATTTGCATGAGTAGTCATCCCCTTGGGCAGTTGCTTTTCCACCAGATAATTGGTGAACTCAAGAAAGCAAGGGGTGACACTCTCCATCAAGCACATCATTAGAAGTCATTCATATGCTAAAGATTCATTGATATCCTCCACGAAGTTATCCAACGGATGGGCTTTTAACCTCGAGAGATGATCAACAACGACATTCTCGTACCCCTTCTTGTCTTAGATCTCAATGTCAAAATCTTGCATAAACAGATCCATCGTATGATTCGAGACTTGACATCGACCTTTCTCATCAAGAACCGGATGGTAGAGTGGTATATATACACAATGACATGGGACATCACTAGATAGGGACAAAACTTATCGAATGCATACACCAGAGGAATTAGTTCCTTCTCAGTGGTGGTATAGTGTTCCTAGGCATCATTGAGGGTCTTGTAGACTTGGCTGGATAATAAATAGACTGCAAGTGTTTGTCTCGCTTCTGTCCTAGAACTGCACCAACTGCATAATCAATGGCATCACTCATCATCTTGAATGGGAGGTTCAAGTTAGGAGTCACCATGATAGGACCATGGGTAAGCTTCTTTTGTAGGTTCTCGAATGCCAATAAACACTCTACGGTGAAGTGGAAAGGAGCATCCTTCTCCAACAGCTTTATCAATGGCAACACAATCTTTGAGAATAAAGTCCTTGATAAACCGCCTTTAGAACCCTGCAAGAATCTATGGATCCCCTTTACAAAAGATGGGGAGGTAGTTGTTGATTGTCTCTATCTTCACTCAATCTACCTCCATCCTTTGCTTGGAGATATTGTGCCCATAACTATCCCTTCACACACCATGAAATGGCACATCTCTTAACTTAGCGCAAGGTTTGTCTCTTCACACCTCTTTAAGATGAGCTCAAGGTTATGAAGTCAATGATAGAACAAGTCTCCATTAACCGATAAGTAGTCCATGAAGACTTCCATGATTTCTCTAACTAACTGGTCTAAGATTGCCATCATGCACCTCTAGAAAGTAGTTGGTGCATTGCAGAGCCCAAACAAAATCCAATGATAAGCAAAAGGGTTGAAGGGGAACATAATTGTAGTATTTTCCTGGTCCTCTAGTGCAGTCGGAATCTGGAAGCACCTGGACATACCATCTAGGAAGCATTAGAACTCATGTCTCGCCAATATCTCGAGCATCTGGTCAATAAAGGGCAGTGGTAAGTGGTCTTCCTAGGGGTATCGTTCAGGCGGCGGTAGTCAACGCAGACTCTCTGCCCAGTCACTGTTCGCATCGGGATCAGCTCGTTCTTCTTGTTCGCGACAACTATCATCTCGCCTTTCTTAGGCACCACCTGAGTAGGACTGACTCACTCACTTTTAGAGATACAAAAGATGATACCCGCATCCAAAAGCTTGATGATTTCTGCCCTAACCCCCTTCTTCATATTCGGGTCAGACTCCACTATGGTTGCACCAATGGCCTAATCTCATCCTCCATTAGGATCCGATGTGAGCAAAAAGAGAGGATAATGCCTCTAATATCTTTGATCTTCTAGGCCAGTGCTCGTGCATACTTCTTCAACAAGGCCACCAGTCTGGCCTTCTTCTTGGGGGTGAGAGTTGAGCTGATAATCACTAGCAGTGTGTTCCCCTCCCCTAGGAATGCATACCCCAGGTGATTGGGGAAGGACTTCAACTCCAGCTATGGTGGTGATCCGAGCTAATTTGGAGACTGGCCCCATTGGGGTCTCGTGCTCCTGGGTCACCCCACCATCCAATGCTGCCAACTACTCATTCGACTACAGCTCTTGTGAAGCATGTTCCCCTACAAACAAACAATGCTTAAGGGAATCGTCAGTACTCACACTCGTGGTGTGAAGTGTAGCTCAAAATCAGAAGACACATCGGAATAATCCAAGTCATCATGCAAGTGTGAATGCTTCATATTATCAAAAACATAATGTTATTTGCTCATCCCAGCCCGCAATGTTAACTTGCCATCATTCACATCTTTGAGTGCCTAGACGGTGGCAAGAAATGGTCTACCCAGAATTAGAGTCACCTTCACGTCCTCATTAATATGAAAAATCACAAAATCAATAGGGTAAACAAATTCACCCACAGACACAAGCAAATCCTCAACAATTCCTCTAGGATGCACAATTGATCTATTAGCTATCTGAATGCTGGTACTGGGTTCACTTAGGCCTAGCTTTCTAAACATCTTATAGGGCATGACGTTAATGTTAGCACCTAAATTCTCCAAGGACTTCCTACATGCTAACTGCCAATAGTGTAGGAAATAGTAAAACTCTCTAGGTCTTTCCACATCTCGGGCAGTTTGTTCTGCAGGATGGCAGAATACTCTTCATTCATCATCGCTTTCGATAGTTCCCCAAGTTTCTTCTTATTGGCGAGGAGATGTTTCATAAACTTAGCATATTTGGGCATCTTTGATAGTGCCTCCACAAATGGCAGATTGACGTGCACCTGCTTCAACATCGCAATGAGCTCGGTGAATTCAATCTCTAGTATGTCTTTATGCATCCTAGTGGGGAAACAAAGTTGAGGGGCATGCTGCTTCAGCACTGGTTGTGGTCTTGGGGAATACACCTCTTCTTCCTTATTCACTTCCATGGTAGAGATTGGAGCTGCTGGAGTAGACCGCTCTTCTTCACTTCTGGAAAGAGCAGGGATGACAGCAGTCTTCTTCCCACGCTAAGAGATATTGCCTTCAAATGGGCAAGAGGAACCTGAGGATTGAGCACTGTGTTAGCAAGCAATACACCATGTGGTCTGTTGGCAACAAATTGAGCCACATTCCCAATCTGGCTTGATAAATCCTGTAAAATCGCCTAGTGGTGTCTCTGGCCATCCTCAATCTCAAAAAATTTCACAATAGCTAAGTCCATGAACTGTTCCATCTTGCTAAATTTCTAGGTACTAGTGGTCATGAAGTTGTTAACCAATTCCTCCATCTTCAACAACCTGTCAGGTCGAGGTGTACAGGTGCTGCTGAACCCTGGAGTTGTTGATGATGTGGGTAGCCACCACCTTGATTCTGCTATCGAGGCTGGTAGGGAGGACGCTGCTGATATCCTGCAGTCGGTGCCTAAAATCTGGGTGGCCTAGGATTCGCGGGAGCAGCCCACGAGAAATTGGGATGTTGGCATCACCTTAGATCATAGGTTTTGTTGTATAGTTTGTTGCCATCGCGAATATAAGTAAATAACCTCAAATTATATTTTATATATAAATAAATTCATTTGATGTTAATATTTTTTCACATTTCCATATTTTATAAAACCGGTACATATCGGTAGAAACCAATTATACCACTAATCAAACAATTGCACTTGCTAAACCGACGCAACGATATTAGAGGTGTTCAAATGGTTACCATGGTAATAACCAAATAAAATAAGTCTAAATTTTATTAACCATGAAATACAATATAATAACCAAACCGTCCAAACTAATACAACAACCAAATCCACCAAATCAAAATTTAATCGGTTTGGTTAATTGGTTAACCAGATTAACCAATATAATATCACATTATCATTAAGTGAGAAAAAAAAAATTCGGTTAATGCATCAATTCATAATTTATATAATGAATAAAATATAACAATCAACAAATAGTTATAGTTAACTCTTAACATAAATATATGCAACTAATACAATTATCTTACAGTCAAACAAGCTAAAATATTTTACCGTACCAAACCAATTATCCAAATTAACCAAACCAAATTGTCTAAATAGTACTGATTAAAATGGTTACCATGGTAACCTATCCGTTTGAACACCCCTAAATCGATATAAACCGGTTTGACTAAACAACCTATCCGTCTTTATTTAATTCCAATAATTTATTTGGTTCCCCTCCCTAAAGTTTCAATTCCGTCTTCATCATTTATTGCTATTTGGGGGGATTCCCCTGCTTCAGTTTCCCACCGGGTTCTCTGATTTTCTGCACTCTTTCTCTGTTTCGCGGCGGGTGTTCTGTGGTGTGTGTGGGGGTGGGTGGGTGTTTTCTGCGTGGAGTGGAGCTTTGGATCTCTTAAATGTTTTGCTCATTCCATGCTCAGATCTTATTTGTGCTTCTCCAGAAATTGAGGTTAGCAAACGAAGAAGATCTCCATTTCTCTCTCACTCTCTCACTCTTTCTCTGCAGCTTCTCTATTTCTGCTTCCTTCCTCTTCCGTCTTTCGTTGTTCTTCTTTTGACCATTTGGGTCATTCTTCTACTCTATGGCTGCGCCAGCTAGCTAGGGTTTCTGTTCTACTCGGATCTGCTGAGAACTAACTGGTAAAAGGGATAAACATTTCTGAGCGAGTCCTCCATTTCCCGTTTCTCCCCTCCCCTAATTGGTTTCGGAAAGTTAAGGTCTAGATTTTGGGGTAATCTATGAGCAGCATCTGCACTTCAATTCCTGTGAATTGTGCTGGAAAATTGGCTGCGAAGTGCAAACCTTCATCTGGGTTATGATTATTTGAGCTGATTATGTTGTTTCTCATTTCCTTTTCTGTGGTTCACAGGTATTCCATTTTTGCCTTGCTATCGTCCCAGACCTCCGTCCAACATCTCTGAACATTTTGCCAAGAGGGGGTCCAATTGCGGCTTAAAAAGCTGCGGGCTTCACTATATTGGCATCTTGGTCACTGATTCAGGTACCTCCTTTTTTTTTTTTTTTTGTCCTTTCAGTCGTCCCTTTCGTTTTCGTTGGTGTTGTCGTACAATGGCTTTTTTTCCTTGTCTGCAGTAGCTGGATTTTGTGTTTAGAGTGTTTTTAATGGTAATTAATTTCAAGTCCGACATAGCGCGAATTCTGTTTTGCCTCTTCTCAATGACTTCGTATTTAATGTGTGTATGGCTGCAATAAATGGTGCCCTGTTTTCCGTATATGGAGATGGGGATTCTGGTTGGTCAACAAAAGATGTTGTGTGCAATCGGTTTACCTCTCCCTTTTGGTTACTTCATCAGCTCTCTTCCCTTTTGGATGCTTAGGGGATGTTGAATGTTTGGATTTTAGAGCTCCTTGTGTCTAATTTTATCAATTTGATATCATCCTTCTTCAGCTTTATTAGGGTTTGGGACTTCATTTTTTTTATTATTCTTCCTTCCAGGCTTTCCATTTTTGCCGATTCATCAGCTATTGGTGTGTTCAGGCAAATATATCAGAGCATTTTACAATAAAAAACGTCGTGTTTTGGTCAAGCAAACCTGTTAGCAATCTGTTTTGCCATCTTGGTGCATTTCAGGTATGCCAATGCGATTCCCTTAGAGGAATTTTTACCTGAGAAAAATGAACTGGTAATTAGTTTTGTCTCTTGTGACGGACTAAACCGTGAGAAGAAAAACATCAAATTAGTTAAGCTTGCATCTGTAGTTTCTGTGACACAGAACGACAGTATGCTGTCATTTTTCAGCTCCATCGGTTTGATTAATCGTGTGAAGTGGGCGGCTTAGGTTTATTTATTAGCGTTGCAACTTATAATTGTTGGGTTGTTCCTCTTTTCCTAGACTTTTCGGTTTGTAAAGTGATCATTTCGTTAGACGGATGCACATGAGTTACAAGTGATGGTTTCACACCTGTTTGTTTTATGATCTTCGTATAATAGAAATACACTGGCTTCTATAGTTTTAAGGGTTTTCTATTTTCCATTTCCATCTCCGGCTTATAGTTCTTTTCTACATAGTTGTTAATTATTAACATTGCGACAAATCACCATAGGTTAACATTTTTTAGAGATTCTGGTTGGTCACTCGATTGTGCATTTTTTAGCTATTAATTATCTGTTTCTGAAAAATACAATGTGAATTTTGTGGTCTTGGCCGTCATATCCATTGCTAGCATACTCCTATTTGTTTCTATGTGCTTTGGCTTCCCTTTTCATTTCTTTCCCATAAACTATGGATACTTTTACGGGACTTCTAGTTTGCTGTATTTCTCTAAAGAGTTTTTTGAAAGAGATTGAACGTGTGTGAGAGATTGAGTGCAAGTATTGAAAGTTCAGGAGAAAAAGGCGGTGCCTTCACGTTTATTTAGTGTTTTCCTTTTGCTTTTCACCCTTGATTTCTGTCCTTTTTGATTGAATGATTTTCAGCTGTATGATATGGTGTTTGCCTTTACTAGAAGGAGATGAGTCGTATGACAAATGAAGGCAAAGATTCTGTTCTCCCCAAGGATCAGATAGAATCTCCATTGACCGAAGAAGGAAATTCTGCTAGAAATGTAAATGGACAAACGAATCTCAAGAAAGGTCCGTGGACAGCTGCTGAAGACGCAATCTTGATGGAGTATGTGAAGAAGCACGGGGAAGGAAACTGGAATGCTGTTCAGAAGCATTCTGGTCTTTCTCGTTGTGGGAAAAGCTGTAGGTTGAGATGGGCCAACCACCTCAGGCCAAACTTGAAGAAAGGAGCATTTACCCAGGAAGAAGAGCAGATAATTATCGAGCTTCATTCCAAAATGGGGAACAAGTGGGCTCGCATGGCTGCTCATGTAAGTCTATATAGTTTCCCTTTTAGCTGCAAACAGCTTTTCTCATCGATGGATTGGTTTTGTGTTATTTGATGAGATCTTACCTGAAAGTTGTTTTGATTAGATCTCTGAGTCTGAATATATGGCTGTACTTAAGTACAACTAACCTGATGATTTTTCTCCTTCATGTTCCTTCTGTATGAGTTGTCAGAAGCCGTTAGACTTTCATCGAAGGCGTAAAACTGATGCAGTGTTAGGCTGCTGGTTTACCTAGTTTTTACTTTTTAGAAGTCATTTACCATGCGGTTCTCTACTTTCTTGCCTTTTCATTGGAAAGTTTCTTGACAATAATCTTCATGTTCCATCCACCACCACTGCTAGATCTCTTCCTTAGGGTTGGCCATATTGGATAATTACGCATGTTGACACATGTTGACACTTGATTGGACTGTTTCTTCTAATCAGGGAATTTGTTTATGTTCATAACGAGTTATGTAATCTAAACAGTTTGCAATTTGCTGCATTCTACTTTAAAATCTGAAAGAAGCATGATATTCCTGCTGAGCTCTCTAGAAATTATGCAGAAACTGAATGTTGAACATGTTCCACGATTAGAAGAAAAAATAAATAGGTTATTTAACTTTGTTAGCTTAAGGTCTCTTTTGCCTCTTACAGTTGCCTGGACGTACGGACAATGAAATAAAGAATTACTGGAACACCAGAATCAAGAGACGTCAAAGGGCTGGTTTACCTCTTTACCCCCCTGAAGTCTCCTCTCATGCTTATCGGGATGGTCACCGGAGCTTCAAAATAGGTGGGGCGGATTGCAGATCTAAAGGGCATCACGACCACCTCTTGCACAACTGCTATGAGATCCCTGATGTCACATTTGACAGATTGAAACCCAGTCAGGGGAGGATATCTAACTCTGTCCCTGAACTTGCTGATATTATTACTCCAAGTGCCATGCTGATGAAAGGGCTGGGGGACTCGTCTCAATATGGTAGCTTCAGTTCTCCATTAATACATCATGGTCAGAAACGGCTTCGGGAATCATCTACTTCTCCTCTATACAGTGGTAGTGGGAGAAATGACTTCTCGTTTTCTGAGTCCTTTGGCTTGTCTTTCCCATTTGATTCTGATCCAAACGACATCAACAAGAATCAACAACAGCAACCACTTAATGATGCTCAGGGTGGCCATACCCTTTCATATGGCAACAATTTCTCTGCTTCTAAGCCTTCTACTGGGGCTGTGAAGTTGGAGCTCCCTTCACTCCAATATATCGATTCCGGTAGCTGGGGAATAATATATTCTCCACCGCCTCTCCTTGAATCGGTTGATACTTTTATCCAATCTCCACCTACTGCTGGCACTACCGTTGGGTCGAATAGCACTTCTCCTCGCAATAGTGGCCTACTGGATGCTTTACTTCATGAGGCCAAAGCTCTAAGTGGTGCTAAGAATCATTGTTCTTCCGAGAAGAGTTCGAATTCCTCAACTGTTACCCCTGATGATATTGCAGACAGTTCAACCCTGAATGCTTGTGATGCAGCAGAATGGGACAACTATAACGACCCTCTTTCTCCCTTGGGCCATACTACTGCAACTTCGTTTCTCAGTAAATGCACTCCAATCAGTGCCAGTGGCAGTTCATTAGATGAACAAAAACCACATATAGAGACCGTCACTGGTATGGTTTCTGGTTTCTCTTCAGTTTGTGTTTATTAACACTCTCGATTACTTTTCGGAAGCATTCTTTCTTTAACATTATGACAATCCTATTCAGAATGTCTCTGTAATTGATCTTGGTTTGTGCTGATTCTTAAGTCACAAGCTTTCATTTTGTTGCATCCCTTAAGTATATTCTCTTTACTTTCTCTTACAGGGTGTGAGATCAAGTCAGAAGCTGCAGATCGAGCCTTGACCCCAGAAAGAGAAAGGGAAAGGGACACTATTACAAGCCCTGATGCTTTACTCACTTCTGACTGGCTTGAACAAGGATCTGGCAGTGGCTATGGTGGCAAGGATCAGGTCGTGATGACCGGTGCAATAGCAGCTCTCCTGGGTGATGATCTGAGCAGTGACTATAAGCAGATGGCTGCTGCAGGAACATCATCCGCCCCAAGTCAAGGATGGGTACTTGGCTCTTGTCCGTGGAACAACATGCCTGCTGTGTGTCAAATGTCAGAACTTCCTTGATGAAAGAAAAATGACTTGTCCCAGCATCTGAACCCTTCTATTCCACCTTCTGCTGCTTCATAAATCTATCATGTGTTTCTTTTGGCTTTACTAGTTCTGGGTCAGAGCAAGTCAGGACCAATTGGCTGGTGTTTGTTATATGATCATTGTGGTCTGTAGTTTGTCTGTGTTTAAATGATCATGTGGCGTAGAATTTGTTCTTTCCTTTCTGGAACTTCTATTTGTTGGGAATGGGACTATCATACGTATCCTTTAACATGAATTTCATTGTAAGTTGGGAATTTCAGGATTTGCATCGCTCAATGCATGTATTTTCATATCATTAACATCCAATCTGATGAGAGAACTACAAACCAGAATCAGTTTCATGTCTCATCTCCAAAATTGCAATACAAACACAAAAAAGTAACGGCAAGGGAACTTATAGAAGAACAGTTTTTAGCCATGGTAAGTTACCAAAGTCTAGAACTGTGTTTTCTTCTCATTCTTCTTCCCTTGTTAAGCTGCAAAACTGAGGGGACAGTGAATCCCTGCTTTTGTGCCAGTTTCTGCAAATCGTCTCTTCGCAAGCCCAAAGTAACTCCAACGCCGAAGATGCAGAACCCTAGTACCAAATCCCTGGCGCCTCTACCAAACCCTTCTACCAAAATTGCAGAAACTAGGGCCGAAGTCAGAACTCCAATGATCAGATCTTTATCTACTTTGCCAGAGGAAAACAACACAATGGCGACACCGGAAACCAGAAACAACCCTAACAGAACCAATGAGCTTCTCTTCCCTCTCCTTCTTCCCCATCCGCTTCCTCCGCTTCCGCCGAAACCCATCCAAGACCCGGACCCACCTTTACCGCCGCCATCTCCAGAAGTGCTGAGTTCCGCCAGAATCAGACCCAGCGGTTCGGGGAGCAAGTTAAGCTTGGAAGCGATTGAGAAGGCCAATTTGGGCAGAGTCTCGGCTACCCTGTGATGCCCAGATCCCTTCTTGGCCTTTCTTGCGCAAATAACTGGGAGATGAATCTGGGTTCGGGACAAAAGTAACGGTGAAGGGCGAATCGTCGCTGAAATTTCGAAGAGTCCATGGTGCCGTTGTGAGGGGAGAGGGTCGAATTTGAGGTTCAGAACATTCTGCATTTCGGTGAGCTAGCCGGAGAGAGGAGCCAGCCAAGGAGCGACCGTTATGTGGGGAAAAGTTTGAAAATTTGGGAGATGGGAGGAGTAAGGAATCAAACTCAAACTCCCTTGCTTTTAAAAAGTCTTCACCGGGAAAACCTTTGATCAGCAGCGGCCAAGTGGGCGAAAGTTAATCGGCTAACTTGAAGATTCGTTAGCAGATACTAACTGATATCCAAATTACATGAACTAATATCCAAGTACTAAAGTATCTAAAGAGCACAGACTAGTATTCAAAGTTTGCTAACTGATATCCACCATGAATCAACTATTATCCCAAATTCACAAACTAATATCTAGACAACACAAAATAGTATTCAAACAGCATATAATTAGTATCCATATAACCTATAAGAGTATCCATATTGAATACTAGTTGGTTGATTGTGGATATTAGTTGGTATCTGCTATTTGAATACTAGTTTGTGATGTTTTAAATACTAATATGTGCTATCTAGATACTTTAGTAAAATCCGCAGACTTGGATACTAGTTTATACTTTTGGGATATTAGTTAGTATATACTAACAACTTATTCAATTAGCAGAATAACTAGCCTGGGCGAAGTGGGAGACAAACCGGTCCTCCTCTCGCTGCGTTGTGCGCTCGACTTGTGAGCCAAGTTGGGAGTTGGAGGGATATGAAATGGGCCAGTTGTGGTATGGGCTGTTCTTATCAGTAACGGCCCATTTTTATATAATCACCCCAGGTTTAACTGTATAAGGTTCAAATGGATAATATGATAATTACCAAATTAAATAATCTTAAAATTTATTAATCATGGAATATAGTATTATAATCGAACCGTCTTAACTAATACAACAACTAAATTAACCAAAATAAAGCTTAATCGGTTTGGTTAATTGATTAGCTAGAATAACCAATATAACATCACATTATCATTTAGTGAAAAAATCTCCAGTTAATGCATTAATTCGCAATTTATATAATAAATAAAACATAACAATCAACACATAGTTAAATTAATCATTAACATAAATACATGTAACTAATACAATTATCTTACTGTCAATAGAAGTATTCACGTAACAAAAATATATGTCAATGGTATGAGGTTAATGAATTGTTGAATTTTGTAAATTGACTTATTCTTTTAGCAATTATCATAGGCTGAAATAGACATTCCTTTCAAGTCTTTATCCAACATATTGTATGAGCTGTATCTAAAATAGGAGTCCATATATTGTGGTCTACACTATAAAAATACAAATATACAGTATATGAACAATACTGAACTTTTATTTTTTATGAGCCTAAGAGGGAGGAACGTTTGACACTTGAGTGGTTATGCAAAGTATTAAATATGTGTATATAATATCTATGAGATATATGGTTAATTACTTAACTAGTTAATTTGGTTTGATTAGTTAGGAATGTTTGAAACCAAGCCAAACCAGCTAAAAAATTAAACCTAATCAAACTTTTATCCAAATTAACCAAACCAAATTCTCCAAATACTACCTATTAAAATGGTTACCACGATAACTACACCGTTTGAACACCCCTAAGCGCATGACACAATAGCCCACTCGATAATCACATGGACAGTAGAATTACACTCTTTGCCACCCAACATCCCTTCCCTCCTATAATATAGGGTAGAGTGTCAACTAATTTTCATCATTTTGAATTTCTCGCTCTCTCATTAACTGTAGGTAGGGGGAATACCATAATCCTCGGAGGCATGGAGGCTGCGTAACACAAAAATCATGAACTGTCTTGAGTTACGCTATGTATTATTGGCGGGCACACGAACACAAGACTAAAAATTCAAGAATCACAACGAATAACACAACATTTACGAAGGCGTGTGGATGGACTAGGTATTCAAACCAAGACTATAATAGGCGGATATGCTATGCGTCTTTCCGACGGGAGGCAATGATACTCCCTAGTTTCGAGCCAAACAAATCGCTCGTCACAAGAAGCCCTTTATAGACGCAAAAACCCACAACTTTGCTTGCCTAAGGAGCCATTGTTGGCCAAGTGATGATTTGATTGGGCCTAATGGCCCAATAGGTTGACTGTTGAAGACCGCGTTTGAGGCTCCAAAGTGCTATGTCATTAGTACTATCAGGGGCGTCCACCATGGGATGCCACAGGCGAGAAGACACCTGACAATATAGAAGTTAGTATATATTGCCATTACCAATGTAAAGATATCACATGATCCACATACCTCGATATCTCCTTGTCACAACATTTATTGTCGCCGGGACGCTCCCTATTAGATTTGACGTTCTTAGGGATGCCTGACATGGCCTTTAATGACTTAGTTTTTGGTAGGTTGGATATAAATACCCCTGTACAATATTTAATGGTAACTCAAGTACTCAATTACTCTCTCTCTATCTCTCACTAAACTCATTTATCTCTCTTATCTCCTACTAACTTAAGTTCTAATTTTTAATGCCTATTATTGACACGTGTCGGGACGGGATTGGTCGGGTGCACCACGTCACCAATCCTTGCTGGTGCACCCGTCCCATCTAAGTTTTCTCTCAGTAATGTATCAGCCATCAAACTAACACAAATGAAGCAACATAAATTAGAACCAGTAACTACCAGAGTGTTGAAGTCATTGATCACACGTTAAGCGTATTTCTTGAGCTGGCATCTGCGTTAATTATTTTTTACCTATATGATGGGAAAAGAGGAGCAGTTTTTTTTTTTTTTTGCTGTTAAGTAATTGTATATACTAATTTACTGATGTCTCCGTTTTCTATTTCATGTAGGTATAATGTAGGTATATGACTTGATGACTAGAAAGCTGCTTCTGAAGTTGGATGCTGTTAAATTCATAATTGCTAATCATACTGTAGATTCCATTTTCATATGCTTTTCATGTTCAGAGTGCTGCATCACTATGATGAAAGGATAGGGTGAGTAACCTTTTGTTACTCACCCGTGAGTAACCACATAGCAACCGTCGATCTGGGCCGGACTCATCTTGTGGATGTGATTGAGGCGGTGATGGTCAGAGGCATTTTTGTCCGTTATTTGAATTAATTACTTTCTCTCTTTATTCGTTGCGAATCTTTCTGTGCGAGCTGGATTGGGTATTTGGAGAGAGAAAGTGCGGGCAGCAGCTTAGAAATAGGGGACGGCGAGTTTTTTCTCTCCATAATTGATCGACGGCGAGAACTTAGGTGGATAACCTAAATCGACGGCGAGTTTATCTCCGGTTAGATATTAGTTTTTCTGATTCTTCCTGTTCTGTCGTTAACTTTTAACCTGGCGTGATTCGTTGAGTCTTCTGTTGATCTTTGGTTACGTTGAGCGTTCTGTTGATCTCTGGTTTTGTTTTAGGTTTTTCGGTATGATAATTGCTAGTCGAGCTTGTTCATGTTTAGCTAATCGAGCGTGTTTGAGTTTCTCTGGTTTCGTTGTAGGTTTTGTAGATTTTACTTTGTCTGAGTTTCTTTGTGTGTTCTGTTTAGCTAATCGAGCTTGTTCATGTTCATGTTCATGTTCATGTTCTTTGTGGTTTGGTGTTTTTGCAGTATTCTGGTGAGATGAGTTACGTAAATTGTGGCGATGTTGTTCCATTCGATAGATGTGGTTCTTCAACCAGCGTTGTAGGATCTGGTTCTTCATCTAGCGTTGTTGGAACTGCTTCTTCATCTAGCGATCTTGGATTTGGTCATTCCCCTAACTTTGGTGAATCAGGAGGTAAGATATACAATTTTGTTTGTTAATTGAAGTTTGAATGTGTTAGATACCATATGGTACCATGGTGGTAATTACTGGTATACGATGAGAGGTGATACCATAGTGTTGTGTTGTGATATTATTGTGCTCTGTATTTAAGTTTTACCATATCATACCATGGTGGTAATTACTTGTACCATGGTTGTCATCATTGGTATATGCTGAGATGTGATTCTGTTTTGGTGTGGATATAATTTTGCCATATCTTATCATGGTGGTAATTACTGGTATATGTTGAGATGTGATACTGTTGTGGTGTGGAATTCATTTTACCATATCATACCATGGTGGTAATTTCTTGTACCATGGTTGTAATCACTGGTATATGCTGAGATGTGATTCTGTTGTGGCGTGGAATTCATTTTACCATATCATACCATGGTGGTAATTGTTGTATCATGGCTGTAATTTTGTCATATCTTACCATGGTGGTAATTACTGGTATATGCTGAGATGTGATTCTGTTGTGGTGTGGAATTTGGTTTACCATATCATACCATGGTGGTAATTACTTGTACCATGGTTGGAATCATCGGTATATGCTGAGATGTGATTCTGTTGTGGCATGGAATTCATTTTACGATATCATACCATGGTGGTAATTGTTGTATCATGGCTGTAATTATTGGTATACGTTGAGATTTTATACTGTTGTGGTGTGGAATTAATTTTGCCATATCTTACCATGGTGGTAATTACTGGTATATGCTGAGATGTGATTCTGTTGTGGTGTGGAATCCATTTTACCATATCATACCATGGTGGTATTATATTTGTACATATTTAATATGTTGCTTTATAATGTTTGTAGGTTTCAATGGTATATATCCTACGGTTCGTGGTTCTTGGAAGGACTTACAGTTCAATACACCAGTTGATGCATATAATCTCTATGTGGATTATGGGAATCATGAAGGTTTTGGTGTGAGGATTTACCAACAATCAGCATGTTCGAAGCTCAATGGTGGTTCTTCAGTTGTTTATTATATCAAGTATTGTTGCAATAAGGAAGGTTGGAGAAAAGGTAGTGAGAATAACCCTGATAATGTAGGTGTTGTTGATACGAAGGTTCGTGTTCGTAATGTTCCAGAATTCAGGGGTGGATGTAATGGTGCTTATATACAACCGAGGTGGTTTAAAGAGTTGAAATGCTACAAGATCTATCGTTGGTATAATGTGCACAACCATGACATGATTCCTGAGTCTCTGCGTTACTATGTGAGATCCAGCAGACAAATGGCTCCTGTGTACAAGATGTTGGCAGAAGTGAAT